AAAACTTTGTCTAATGTTGAGTTCTTGGTTTTTATTACTAGGTAGATTACCTTCCATCGTTTCTAGAAATACAGATACAGAAAACATTAAAAAAAAAAAATCCTGTGACATCTTTTTTGCAATTGTACCGAAAGTGGCTTACTATTGAAGTCTGATAGCTTTTTTCTAGTGACTAGGCGCGTACTGTGGGGTAGCGCGTGATGTGATGTGTAAGTGACAAGTTGGCAGTGTCGTTCACTGTATAGATGTCAATGCTGTGCTATTTAAAACAAATCTGTAGAGCTAAACTAGGTGGTGTAAACAAGGTCAATTGTCTTTGTGCGTATTGGCATCTGTGATATCCTCCGCTTCCTTGGTGTTAGTTACAAATCATATTGTCATTAGAAGTTTACCACATTGAGCCATTTAAGACAGAATTGGGTGAAAAGGCATTATTGACTTTTTACTTTAAGCTTAACGTGATACTGTCATTGCAGAATCTGAATTATGGTTGCCCTTGGTGATGGATGCCCTCTAAAAACATCCTCTGTAACATGTCGGGAAGATTTTATGATCGTATCCATTCTAAATTGGTTTGAATTAGATTGTCGGGATATAAATAATAACCCTTTTTAAATGAAGCTTTTTAAAGTCTAAATGAAATGTGAAGTCAACAGTGTTGTTCCCCTCCACTTGTTAGACTATATTGATAAGGTTGCATCATTGAACTTAAACCTCCAAATGGTGCAGCATTACTTTTGTGAATTTACCCACTGGATTTTCAGATTAAAAGCGCTAGCTAGGGTTTGACTGAGGGTTTGTATGCACTAAGCTCCTGCTTGTTTTGCTCAGGACAAAACAGGTCACTCTAAAAAATGAACAAACTATTCTAGAAGAGATGTAGGGGATGGCAGCTCTGTTCATTTTTTTTCCGCCCTTATTTTTATGTCATAAAGGGCTTCAATCCACACTCAGAAAGACACACAGCAAGACCACGTAGAATTACAATCATCAACTGCTGCCAGCAGCGCTCCTATTGTGCCAAGTGTCGCATCACTCTCCTCTGAAAAGGTATTTAACAGTGGAGTTAAACGAAAGTAGTAGAAACGTGAACAGTATGCACTTCATGGGGATCTCACTCTCACGCTGGTCAGAATGTCTTACAGTGTCGGCGAGGTGTTAATCTGCAGTCACTCAAAAACTACGCCTCAGCAAAACTCCTGGGTGCTGGTTCTACTGTCTGTGTGCAAGTATCCTATCCTCAAAACGCTTAGCTCTCTACATTGACTGGTTAACTGTGGGAAAATATATATCTGACTCTTGACATAGCCCAGTATCGATGTTGGCGTCCTTATTGCTGTGGCAGTCTTGTGGAGTGAATCTTTTTCGTGTCAAGTGTCTTTTAAGGTGTTCTAGCAACGCCGTCGACCAATCTCAATCTCCGCTAGAGATGACGACTCTCTTTCTCACACATACAGGTGTATAGTATGTAGCTACAGTAGGTAATAAAGACCATTGTGAAAAAGTGACCCTTAATATGCAACTCAGTGGAAAGGTGTGAAAGAGTAGATTAATAATCAATATTGTCAAAGTGACTATGGTCTGTTATTTAATAATTCTTGCTGTTTTGTAGTTTTTTTTGTAAAATGTGTTTTTTATTTCGCCCTCAGACTTTTGAAATGGAAGAGCAATTGGCCCTTGTTTGTAGTAGCTAACATTAAACAGTGTTTTAAAGGAATCGTGGGACCTTACTTTCTAATTTCTCTGGTCTAAAAGTATCTGATTTACAGGATCTATGAATTGGACTTGGATATCTGACTGAAAGCTATTATATATTAATGTTTGTACACTGAGTGAAATGGTTGTTACAATAGATTCTGTCACAAGGGCCTCTTGCAATATCGTATTTTCTTTGGTATGCGTGTGTGCGTGTGTGTTTTGTACATTTAAGGTTCCTCTGCTGCTACACCAGTCATTAATGCTCGTTGTTTGCTGTAGCATCATCCACAGCATTTCTGTTCTCATTATGTGTTGGGTGTGTTTTTTAAATTGATCTTAACACTGTAATTTGTTCTGCAGATTTTTATTTTTAATTGGTTATGGCTTTTTTTCTTCTATTTTTTGTTTTGTTTTTGCAAGCAACAAGGTAGAGAGGAAAAATAACAGCACTTGTGTTGCAGATGAATTTAATAGCTCTTACCACATTGGCTTTTTTCATGAAATGATGCTTTGAAAACAGCCGACTGTGCAGGTTTCTTGCTCTTACTCCATGGAGTAGGACTGTGTTTCAAAGGTATAAGGATCTGACTAAAGCGTGTAATGCAAAGTAAATTATCTGTCTTTGTTATTTTTCTGTATGGGTTGTAATAAAATATTGCAGTACTTTGTATGCAAACAGACAATAGTTAATTGTAACTATTTATAAATTAAATTATTGTACTTTTTGCAATCTGTAGATAAGTACTATGTATTCATATATACAGTAACAACTGTGGATTTAAATGTGATTCTGAGGTGTCTAAGTTATTGATGTATATATTGTATGTTTGTTGATACAGCTTACTTTATTTTCTATAAGACCAATAAAATGTTTTGGAAAATGATTTTATGCCCTACTACTCTGTCTTTTGAGGCTTTTAAACACTGTTGAAATGGGGTTTTATCATATTCTGTGGCGTCATTGACCCAGTTTGAAACCAGTAAGAATAAACTAGTGGGGAAGGCTCTCTGCCGTCCAGGGTGGGTTTTAGAAGACAGCGATCATTTAGATGGCACGATTTCTTTTTCTGTGATCCAAAAAAAGCCATTGGGCGACCCACTTTGGCTAACCTCAGTGGACGTATTTTTGGCCCGACACGAGTAAAACATTAGAGTCATGAAGGATGTCTAGGTGTGCTTGTCCTAGATTGGGAGGAGTAGTGAGTTAGTCATCTGTGCTCCCTGTGGGCCTCCTAAACCCCCTCTGTCTCCTTGCACCTCATCAAACATCAGCAGCGTTTCAACCCCAGCACATTCAAAACACATCTCGAGAGAACACGGGGAGACAAAGAGACAGATGGCTGAAGATGAGCTAAATCTTACCCCTCCATCCTGCAGGGCAAGTCTAACCCCCAGTGCCTCTGCACCAATGCAGTGTGGTATTGTTCCCCCCCCTTCTCCTAAATTGAAGAGGCTCCTACAAGTTTGTGTGACCTGTGCCTTAAAAACAGGCTCCTCTCCTCCTCTGGATGCCTGCCCCAGACAACCGGATGGCCTCTGAAGAGTTGATTAATTTGGTGGGTTGGGTTAAGGTAAGCTGGTGGGCAATCTAGGACAGCATTCTTCATCTTCACCCACTTCTGCAGCAGGTGCCTGCCCCACTTCTCAGATCGCAGCTCCGCTGTACAATTAATGTTGCCATCCCCATCAGCAAGGACGTTCATTTAGCACGTCTACCCTGCCAGAGCTTGGCACGGGGCCCAGCTCTGCAAATGTCAGCATGGCAGAGGAGGACATGTCTGTTTTTAAGAGGTGTTGGGTGAGAAGTGCATTTCTCCTTGATCACATCAGCATAGTTGTTATTCTCCTATTTAACACTTTTTTTTACAAATTCAGAATCATCGCCTGCAAACCAGATAAAGGACTCCTGACCACGGGAGAGACAAGACAGAAGACACCAGGATATTAAATATGACTGCTTGTGTGGAGTAAGTTAACCTTGCCCCAGTTTATATGCAATACGTGGGTATGGGTTTCCCTCTGCTGGTGCCTCTGTGTAAATACTATGTGAGATTTAACAGGGTTTTTCCACAAGATGACGCCAAACACTCCTAACAGAAGGATTTCCCCTCCAATGCACATCTTTATCAAACAGGTAAGTCATTTATCACCCAACTTGTTGCATTTTGAAACTATAACCCAAATGTACACATTATGTTGTTATTATAGTCCAGGGCTGGTCCTTATTGAGATTTTAGGATTAGGAATATCTGTGCAATGTTATACAAACTAATAACAGCAATGCAGTAAAGGTATGTGTTCAGATTTTGTTGGCTAAAACATTGCTCAACATAGTTTTGAGTGCATGGTTGTACTGGACTATAACACACATCTTTCACTTAAAATAAAACACACCACAAAATTATCTTTACACAGACTGAGGATAGTGAGCAATGTATGCAATCTTTACTAACATAAAGATGAACTGCAGCCTGCAGGTCTGATGGGTTGCATCATTTGTATTGATTCCACATAAAATATGTAAACTGGAACGTTAATTTAATTAAATGTAGGCCTATTATGTCTTTGGCAAGCGTTTATGTATGGCCTATGTTTTAATTTATACATTTAAATGCATTTATTTATTAGATTAGACTAGATTACATTCACCTTTTATTGTCATTGCACAACGAAATGTGTTTGCATCCAACCAGAAAGTGGAAATAGTAGTAAAGTGCATGCTGTTTCAATACATTCACATAACAAACTATGTTGTAGTAATGTACATACATGTATAGTTATATGAATACATATTGTAATCATAATTTTACTTGTATATTAGGCTATTATATCATTCTTATTGATACATTTCCATGAAGCTAAAGGGAAGATTATCTCCAACACTATAGGCTAATTATTTTTGTCAAAGCATGTTTAAATACCTTAAAGATTAAAGGACATGTCCCATCTTGTCTTTGTTATAGTTGTTATTTTACAGGGGTAACTTGCAGAACATTGAAGTGAACATACAGACCAAACATTGGCCTCTCATCAAAGACAGCTTTGGCAGACAGCCTGCCATATCTGTGGGAATCCAGATATTGTCACATGACCGAGGAAATTCGCCGCTATTATGTAACAACATGTCGGTTGCTTGCACCGGCCACTCATTGTACGATTCAGCCTGCGTCAAGCTTGCCATCAAGAACACATTATTTTCATGTTCGGTCTTTTCAAAATAAAACCAGTGACGACCAATATGTGTTGGAAGGACTTTTATTAACAGGACTTCCTTTTCTTTGGGATGTATCTGCTTTCTTCGGCCGACTTGACTTAGCGCGTGGTGCGTCGTTGCGTCGCGGGTCGAGGAGGCGTTGGCGCATCGCACGACTGCTGCCGCTGCTGCTGCGGACACACAACCCGGCTGTCCTGCACTGAAACGGGGGACGCAACTGACACTGTCACCATCTTAACCGGAGGGGCTCGCTCTGTGGATACAGTTGCACTTTAATTTATCACTCACCAGCTTCACCACAATGATCAAAAACGGTCATCACTACCACCAAGTGAGCACAGCAGCCGGGAAAGACGCAGGGACGACCCCCGGAGCTGCAGCCTGCAGTCCCGAGAAGAGGAGGAGAAGAATCCGGGTGTGGTGTGACGGCTGGTGAGTAATTTACCGGATGAATGATGGTGGGATGGAGATGGTAACAACGTTGGTTGGTCGTGCGCATCGAGCCCGTGTGGATGAATGTGTCAGCCTGTGTTATCATCCACCGCCGGGACAGGCCTGCTGCACAGCTCTCACATGACTGCTGCTCCATTCTTCAGAGACATCCGTGTACACACAACTTTTAGTTGAATAGTTTCCTTTAAATATACTATCATGTGAGTTGCAATGACCATACACATAGTCTATGTGGATCAAGATGTATTATCACGTTGCATTACTTTTTTTTGTAAATGACCACTGGGGCATCATCTCAATTGTTCTCCTCAGGACAGATTTACATTGATCTTTACTGCTGCATTTTATCACACTGTTATGTAGATGGAGCCTTATGACCAGCGATGTGAATACTCCATGTGTATGCTGGAAATAACATAGTATAGTAAGTGCTTTAGATACAAGTGTCTGTCAAATCAATTTTAGAGGCAAACAAAAACAAATTAAAACACAATTCACATTTTGCCAGTAAGACGGCGAAATGTCTAAAGTTGTAGTTATACTAAAAATCAATGGCTGTGGCCACAAAATGTTTCTCTGTTTCATCCTCTAAACTGTTCTCATTGAATTAATTTAACTCATAATAACTGACTAATACTGGTAGGAAATAGGGTTAGCTTAAGGATAGCTTCACAACGTATAATTATCCAGATCTAAACTTTGGGACAACACCAAGAAGGTCATACTGCCACAGAGATGTTAAGCTAGTGATACAATGAAATAGGTAAAGCAAAATGAGTTTAATTCACTGCTAAATATTGCTGACCGTATCAATTCCATACATTTTAAGACCAGATTAATTACAGCACATGCACCATTTCTCAGTTTCAGGGTTCAGGTATGTTGCATGCTGGCTCACTGTCACTGTGATAATTGAATATAACAATGAGTCACTGTTAACATTGTTAGTAACATCTGTTCTTCAAACTGAAACTTTTTATCTTACACGCACAGAATGATAACGTACACATACATTTTTTAAATACATACTTAATTGGTTTGAAAATGTATTTACAATCGATAGACTATGATGTTCAAACCCAGAACAATAACACACTATACACCTCAGATCACTTGTTTACCAGTTCCACTCTGAACCTACTTAGTTTGACTATTCAAGGTATTACTTTCATGAAGACATAATGACACCTCCACAAACAAGGTGTCTTCTTTCAGCAATGTAATGGAATAAAAACAATTATGATAGAGTTGAGCAAGGCGCTCACAGAGCACCAGGCACGGCCTTTAATGCAATACAGGTGATTAATGTTAACACAGCTGTGGGAAGGGCAAGGCTAACCAGAAATTGCTCTTGTGGTCACATCAGTTGAAAAACAATCACATCAAATGCCAAAAACAAAGACACCTTTTTTCTATTGTGCTCTTCCAGCTAAATGTCTAATATTATAGTTTTTATACTACATTTATTTACATTTAAGCATCAGTGTATCGTCCAACTTGATTGATGGCCACTCTTCGTGTGAGGGACATGCCTAATGATTCTGAACACACTGAACAGGTTTGATGGACAGCAGATGTGTCAGCTGTATATACCTCACACATTTAGAGTAACTGATATATTGAAAGACTTTTTAGAAATGTATTGCCAACTATTTTGACAACCGATCACTCATTTGAGACACTGTTTCCAGCCTGTCAAAATCAAGGTGATTGAATGCCTTTTATTTGAAATGATAAAAGGCATGGTTCACAATTTTTAGGATGCATAAAACTATAAATTGATAGTGAAAGTAATTGTTAGCTGCAGCTCTAGAACTGCCTTCTCTGTGAGAAACACCAAGCCCTGGTAGACAGTCTGGCTCCATGGTGCAGTGGAAAAATAAATGTTTTGAATTTCTGTGCATGAAGGCCAGGATTATGGTGTATTTCTCTAGTAGAATTCCTGCTATTTAGGTGAGGCTGTCTGTCCTTGCTTTGATGGAATGTTGCAGAATAATTGGGATGCCAGAATATTAACCGGTGGGATGAGCATGCAAAGAGAGCCAATGTCAACAGAGCCCATGTCATTAACCCACTCCAACCCCTCCGGCCCACACCTGCTACGGCCATTATATCTCGCCACTGAGCACATTGTTTCCCAAAGCCCTGCTGGACACCACCACTCTCTTACTGACATCCAGCATTGTCAGCAGTATGTTAGGAAAATCCCAAGAGAAGAGCATAGTCACTTCATCTGTTGAGACATCTTTGACTCTGCCCCTTCTCCTCTGCACAAAGCAACGATTCGTCACAATGAAAAGTGGTGATGGGGGCTAAAGATCAGTTCTCAGAGAAGCATTATCACTAGAGTGTGGGGTCCACTTCCACTGTGTTTCAGCTGAGGGAGTGTATACAAACATGACTATAAAAGAGCTATTTAAAGCGTCAGTGAAGGTCAAATGATTCAATAAAGAAACAAAAACAATACACCCTATACTTTTGAGTTTTTCTTCAGGTATTTTAATCTTTAATTTAACTTGAAAACCTCACCAAAATGTAAAGAATATACTCTCTTTAACGGTATTTCCTACCCATTTGTTTCTATCACTGTGTCTACAGGTGTCTGTCTGATGTTGTTCTTGAGAGGTGCTGTTTAGGTGTCCGTTAACAGGCTAAGCTAATTAATATTTCATCATCCCACAGTCATGATCCAACCCTGCTAAAAAATACAACAGGAATACGGTAACACACATTGGGCATCCAGCTAGTGTAACACTCACAGAAACAGCCTCCTGGTCTTATATAACTCCGTCTGGTTCTCCAAGTTTCCTTATTCATCCACCTCCAAATGCTCCCCCTGACATTCTGCCGACCTTGCACTATCCCCTCAGACCTGAACACGTGGATCCCATTTTCACACACAGAAAATCTTGCTTCCTCCTAAACAAGCCTCTTCTTGTGTTTTTCAAGTAGTCGATACTGAATCACATAGACAAGCCCTGCAGCATAGTAATGGTTGTTCTCATTCATAACACTCCGTTCGATGTCTCACTATGGGATGCGCCTCATCGCGGAGCAAACAGAAGCATCAATCTCATTACGCCAATCTTGATTGGCTGGTGATCTTGACGTCAGCGTCAGGGAATTCACCCCCTATAAGTAGCTTGCGCCACGACGCATGCGCCATTCAAACACCTCTTCTCGCTTCAGAGCACATCTCTATAGTAGCCGGACAAGCTTAACGGTCCACAGAATTAACCCAAATATAACCATTTCGGTCGACGGGCGCTCGCCGGCTACTCCTTCTGCTTCGCAAGAAGACGGTAATACTAACGCCAGTTAGTATTAAAATCGACCTCGCCGTTCTTTCCCCGGAAATGAAGGTAAGGTTTTGATTTTTCTCAAGCTAGCTACGCACCTGTTGCTAGTTAGCTTCCCCTTACTACCGACACCACGGTAGCGAGGACGCTTTTCTTTTTCTCTCTCACGGAGGAGAAAAGGATTAGAAGTATATTGACACACCAGTCAATATTCTTTGAGAACAAAGGACCCACACCGTCCCTTTTTCTCCGGATTAAGGACGGGTTGGTAACACTTTTTCTCTCAACGACGTACCTGTTACGAGCGGGTCCTCTCCACGCCACGAGGCGAACAAGATGGACGCCTCTCCCCCTCACACCAGAGGAGTCAGGGACTCGGAGGCTCGGTCATGCGGCTGCGGGTTGAAGATAGCAGGCACAGACTCACACCAGGTCTGCTCGTCCTGCCTCGGGCTGGAACACGCCCAGGAGACTATCGACAACCCCGGCTCGTGCGGGCATTGTGCCCTTTTCACCCGAAAGAGCCTCCACCGACGGCTAGCACACCAAGCTAGCTTGTTGGAACAGGACTCCCTCATGTCCACTGATTCGCCGTTTGGCAATCAAGACACGGGGGCGTCCGCCGCAGAGACTGAGCCCCTCACTGTGTCGGTCTGGGGCTCACTAACAGCGGCAGCTGCGGAACCGGGATCCCACGCCGTGTCAGGCCGGGACCCGGTGGCGGCAAGAGACGCGGGAACGGAGCCCCACGCCTCACCAGGAGGGAGCTCCCGGCGAGACCTCACCATGGTCTCGCCCGCAGAGGCTCGGCCTGCTCCGCATACCGCCGATGGAACTGCTGGTGGCAGCCCACCTCCTACCGAGGATGGGCCCGTCACCAAGCAGGAACCCCACGCTGCCAGCGAAGGTGGACCGTTTCCAGTCGACCATGACTGAACGGTCCTACAGAGCCGCAGCGTTGTCCGCCAGGGCTCTGAACGTTTCCTCACTGCTAACCGCATACCAAGCGGAGCTCTGTGAGGATATGTTGAGTAATCCTGGACCGGCCGTTCTGGATGAGTTGGCCGCGGTCACAGACATTTGTCTCCGTGTCCAACGCTGCGCCGTCCAGGCCACAGGCAAAACAATGGGGATCATGGTGGTGCAGGAAAGAGCTAGATGGCTCAACCTCACCAACCTCCCAGACCGGGAAAAGGAGGATGTGCTTGACATGCCCATCGTTCCCGAGGGGATTTTCGGCTCCGCTCTTGCCTCCATGCAGAGGAGATGCGAGTCGAAAAAGAAGGAGGACGAGGCCCTCCACCTCTGCCTCCCTCGAAGGGCCCAGCCGCTGCCTTCGCAGCGGCAGCCCTTCGTCCAAGCTGCTCCGAACCCTGCTCGGTTCAAGATACCGAAAACGCAGAGGTCGCAGTCCGCCCCGAGTCCCCAGCCCAAGCAGGGGACAAGGGCGAGCTGGCCTAGAAAATCTCCGGTTCCGGCTGCAGCCCAGGCGCAGCCAACCCAGAATTTCGGCCAGCAGTCGAGGAAGAAGAAGCGAGCGGCGTGACAGCCCCTCCTTCTCCCCTCTGTGACAGAGCTGGAAGTCTACGGTTCCCCAGCTCTAAATGTGTTCCCGCCGCCTCGAGAGATGCCTCAACACCATCCTCAAGTCCGCGTAAACACATGTCACACACTTATTGATTTTTCTGTCATAAAACGTTTTCCGCTGACGCATCCAGGCTTCCAGCCAAGGGCGCAGCTCGAAAATGAAAAGAAAAACAATAAAAACAATAAACAGTCCGTCAACTGTTTCCCTTCTGAGAGCAGCTACGGCCTCTCTCAAAGGGCGGACAATTGACGGTTCTGTGAAGGCACCACCGTCACACGCATGCGCAGTGCCGGCTGGGGCTGTAAAGGCACCACCGTCACGCACATGCGCAGTGCCGGCTGGGGCTGTAAAGGCACCACCGTCACGCGCATGCGCATTGCCGGCTGGGGTTGTGAAGAAAAGCCCGCCCCGAGTCCCCAGCCCAGGCTGGAGACGAGGGCGAGCTGGCCTAGAAAATCTCCGGTTCCGGCTGCAGCTCAGGCGCAGCCAACCCAGAATTTTGGCCAGCAGTCGAGGAAGAAGAAGCGAGCGGCGTGACAGCCCCTCCTTCTCCCCTCTGTGACAGAGCTGGAAGTCCACGGTTCCCCAGCTCTAAATGTGTTCCCGCCTCCTCGAGAGATGCCTCAACACCATCCTCAAGTCCGCACAAACACATGTCACAAATTTGTTGATTTCTGTCATAAAACATTTGCCGCTGACGCATCCAGGCTTCAGGCCGAGGGCGCAGCTCAAAAAAATGATAAGAAAAACAATAAAACCAATAAACAGCCCGTCAACTGTTCCCCTTCTGAGAGCAGCTACGGCATCTCTCAAAAGGCGGATTACAGGCGGGTCTGTGAAGGCACCACCGTCACGCGCATGCGCAGTGCCGGCTGGGGCTTTAAAGGCACCACCGTCACGCGCATGCGCAGTGCCGGCTGGGGTTGTGAAGGCACCACCGTCATGCGCATGCGCAGTGTCGGTGGGGATTGTCAAAAAGGGGCACCACTATGTTCAGACACTAGAGGGCCCCATAACACAACAAATAGAGACTCAGAGGGGAAGAGACGTGACATCTCCACTGGCTCTAAGGAGCATGCAGTGGAAGATGCTCACATCATCTGCTTGGGTTTTCAAGACAGTAACACAGGGCTACAGACTCCAATTCGCTGTCACCCCCCCTCGCTTCTCGGACATTCTGCATTCGCAGGCCCGAGGAGAGTCAGCCCATATTCTGGAGAGAGAGATTATCTCTCTCCTAGAAAAGAGGGCTATATCTATTGTACCCGCCGAGCAGAGTCAGGGCGGCTTCTATTCCAAGTACTTCCTCGTTCCCAAACGGGGAGGGAACGGAATTCGGCCAATACTTGATTTGAGGGCTCTGAACAAATATCTAAGAAGATATAAGTTCAGAATGCTCACTCACACATCTCTGCTGCGGCTCGTGCGACAAGACGACTGGTTTACATCAGTCGACCTGAAAGATGCGTATTTTCACATCCCAGTATATTACCCACACAGGAAATATCTGAGATTCGCATTTCAGGGGATCTGTTATGAATACAGAGTACTCCCCTTCGGTCTGTCTCTCAGTCCAAGGGTGTTTGTATGATGTACGGAAGCCGCGATAGCCCCGTTAAGACAACAGGGTATTCGCCTGGCGACCTACCTGGAAGACTGGCTGCTTCTCGCACAGTCGGAGCAGGAGGCTGTTACGCAGACAAATGTCCTCGTAAAGCACCTGCTCAACCTGGGTTTCATAATAAACACAGAGAAGAGCATGTTGTGCCCCGCGCAGACTATACTCTTCCTGGGTTTACGCCTGAACTCGGTGCCCTTTTCAGCTCGCTTGTCAGCGGATAGAGTGAAAGCTTTCAGAGCTTGTCTCGCTCTTTTCCAGCTGCGCAAACATGTTCTCTTCAGATCATGCCTGCGATTGCTGGGGCTCATGGCGTCAGCTATCCTGGTCGTACGACTGGGACGCTTACACATGAGGGAGTTTCAGCGCTGGGTGGCCGCCCTAAAACTAAACCCCGCGCGCCATGGCGTGCGGAGAGTGATGGTTACTGTGAAATGCGTAATGGCACTGCGCCACTGGCTGCACCCGACTTTTCTAGTACGAGGTGTGCCTATGGGTGCTGTCCTTTCACGGAAAGTGGTCACCACGGACGCATGTCTGACAGGTTGGGGAGGTATTTATGAAGGTCGCCCGGTGAGGGGTCTCTGGAGCAGAGACCTCCAGCGGGCGCACATAAATTACCTGGAGCTTTTAGCGGTGTTTCTCACCCTAAAACGCTTTCTGCCTTTCCTCAGGGGACATCACGTCCTTGTGAGGAGAGACAATACGACCACAATATCGTATATTAACCGCCAAGGGGGTTTGCGTTCTCTCCAGTTACACACACTGGCGCGCAAACTGATCCTATGGAGCGGTAGGCGTCTCCTCTCTCTGAGAGCGACGCACGTACCGGGAGTGATGAACCTCGGGGCAGATCTACTGTCCAGAGGTATACCACTTTATGCAGACTGGACTCTACATCCAAGGATTGTGAGCCAGCTGTGGGTGCGTTACGGCAGAGCCGCGGTGGATCTGTTCGCATCGAAAGACAACGCTCAGTGTCAGCTGTTCTTTTCGATGCGCGATCTAAATGCACCGTTAGGCGTGGATGCACTCGCGCACAATTGGCCCCCGGGCCTTCTGTACGCGTTCCCACCCCTGGCTCTGATACCCCCAACTCTGGCCAGAGTGAGAGAGCAACGCCACACACTTATCCTGATAGCTCCGCACTGGCCAGCTATGTACTGGCTAGCGGAGATATATCAGCTGCTGTGCGGGCAGCCATGGCAGCTCCCACTACGCAGGGACATACTGTCCCAAGCGGGGGGGGGGCGATCTTTCACCCACACCCAGAGCGCTTGGCTCTATGGGCCTGGCCCGTGAGTGGTACAATCTGAATACAGTGTGACATGAAGCTGACCCTGGCAGCTGCCAAGCGAGCCAGTGGCACTCATGCACTATCTGTACAGTCTTCATGCACTCAGTTCGCCCCAGGGCAAACAGAGTGTGGTTGAAGCCCAACCCTGCCTTTATCTTAAGGCGGTCGGTTCGGGTACCACATTTGACATTGAGGCATCCTCCCCGCCACTGTATTCCTCCGGGGAACAGCGGCCGGATTTGCCGTGTCCAGCCCGTGCTTCACGCACGTACAGGGACAGATCAAGGGTGCTTTGTCATAATGACCAACCCCTTGTGTCCTGGGCTAACCCTTATAAGGGCAAGCCTGTTACTAAGCAACGGCTCTCCCACTGGTTTGTGGAAGCAATTGCTTTGGGGCTCATACGAGTCAGAGTTCGCAGGCACCCTCGGGTCCGCGAGCTCTTTCGACTCAGGGTCTGGCTGCATCCTGGACTCTGTCCATCCCATCCAAGACATTGGTGCAGCGGCGAGCTGGTCCTCGCCGCTCACTTTTGTCCGCCTCTTAACAGGCTGGACGTTCTGCTCCCAGTATGACTCAAGCAGTGCTGGGCACCTGGTTGAGTCAGAGCTCTACCTGTTAAGTTCTGGTTGGTTTGGTGATTTTCGAGATAAGCTCGTCTGACAATACGGGAGCTACAATTTCCCATAGTGAGACATCGAACGGAGTGTTATGAATGAGAACTATAGGTTACTTACGTAACCCCAGTTCTCAGAGTAACATGAAGTGTGATGTCTCACCAGACGGCCCTCCTTGCTATGGTGAAGCGAGAAGAGGTGCTTATTTTGAATGGCGCATGCGTCGTGGCGCAAGCTACTTATAGGGGGTGAATTCCCTGACGCTGACGTCAAGATCACCAGCCAATCAGGATTGGCGTAATGAGATTGATGCTTCTGTTTGCTCCGCGATGAGGCGCATCCCATAGTGAGACATCTCACTTCATGTTACTCTGAAAACTGGGGTTACGTAAGTAACCTATAGTTTTTGTGTTACAATACACTCAAGTGCAGTCCAGGCTGTTTTCAGTCAGGCTGTGTATAGTGACACCACAGATGCTGTCTTTCATTAGCATAGCCTGGGGCTGAAAACAACATGGGCTTCTGTTACTGTTGTGGCTGTGTACATACTGCAGCTCTGGCAGTGCTCATCTGTTTTCTTATTGATTCTTCAAAATGCTATTTATAGTGGTGTTTTGCACTTGACTCCTGGGAGAGCTCAGCCACGTGTCATTTAATGTACTAGAGAGGACACAGATGCCAATTCTTTTTTACTTCAGTCATCTAAAACTTTTTTTAAATTAATTATTGGGAATCTTCAAGTTAATTGCTCTCACATTTGCTAATGGTTATAGTTGCTACAGTAATTTAATGACTCTGTGGTCAGATCTTAATAAAGTCAATGCATCTTCAGTGGCACCTGGAGACACTTTCATCAGTCATTGAACTTTCCTCTCTTTTTTTGTTCATGTTTAATTAGAGCAGAGAGAAAAATGACTGTTGTCAGCTGTTGGCAGTAGTACCAGTGATGGAAGGCTAGTGCCCATCTGTTTTCTATTACTATGCTAGATTACCATGTTACAATCTCCGTCTCCAATCTGTGCTAATCTAATTATCTACAGATGGTACCATGATAGCCTGGGTGGAGTGTGATGGGAGGAAAAATACACTGTGCTTTTGCCTTTTATATGTTTAAACTTTTATCAGACCACATGATTACATTGGTGGGTCGATAATATCAGGAATATCAGCGTTTTAGCATGATCTGTTGCATACATATCAGTTGGTGATTGCTTTTTATTGATTTATGCAGATTCTTTTTTTGGTCTAAGTTAATGCAAGTTGTCAGAACACCTTGTTGGTGTACTTACATACACTCATCTGAGTGTTAAAGAGAAGCTGCCGATTTTAACTTTGAGACCAGTGTTAAACTCACCACAATGCTTCATTCTCCATATGTGTTTGACTGGAATCAAGCATGGTGTACTGAAAAAGAGTTGTACAATGTGTTTTCATTTTGTAAAAATAGCAACTACCTTACCTTATTACTGTATTTCAAGACATGCTTTGTCTTACAGCTCCTGTAACTCGCTACCTTGCTGTAATTTTAATGTGACATCTTATCTTCTTATCCTCCTAGCTATGACATGGTTCATTATGGCCACTCCAACCAGCTGCGACAGGCCAAGGCCATGGGAGATTACCTCATCGTTGGAGTACACACAGATAGTAAGACTCAGAACTATGGACTTAAATTGTTGAATTAAAGCCTTCTCTTTAAAGGAATACACCAAAACGGATCATTTGTATCTCAATTGCTCATCGTGTGTTACCTTAAATTTGTAAAGAAAACCTCTGCATTCTACATGTTGAATAAAAAAAATAAAAAAAATACAGTCTTTATCAATTGAAGTAAATGTTTAATTCCATCCAAGGTTGAAAAAAGTGTGTGTTTGAAAACTACTGTTCATTTAAATGGATAAATAACAGTTGGGTTACACAAGTGCACATGTCGAGTGAAAGGTTCTGAACAAATGTGTTGAACCTAATCTTCTCTGTTCACCATGGAGGCTATACAGAAAGATACAACGTTTTCTCCAAGAATGCAAGGACACATGATAAGTCACTGATTGACGAATTAACATTTTGAGGGTGGAGTATTCCTTTGAGGTCTAGCTCATCTGTACATGCTGTTTTAATAACTCTGATGCTCCCTCCCTTCTCTTGCATGATTCAGCCTGTATCTGCTGAGTCTGGAGATCCATGCTACCTGTAGCCTCTGCTTATGTTCCTCAAGTTTCTTTGTAAAGCGACCTTGAGGTTATGAAAGGCGCTATATAAATTCAAGTTATTATTATTATTAAGTTAGTTGGCTTAGTTGACCTAGTTTTGACAGTAGTTCAACGACTCAGTGATTTTGCCTCACCCTCCTATGGAACACTTTTCTGAAACTGTGAGACACCCGAATGATTTCATAGTCAGTGCAAGCAGATATCAGTAATCTATCCCTCTACATAAGTGATAATACATTATGGCATTATGTCTCTCTTTTCCAACAGTATCCTTAACGTGTACATGTTTTGTTTTCAAGGTGAGATTGCGAAGCACAAGGGTCCTCCCGTCTTCACTCAGGCAGAAAGATACAAGATGGTGCGGGCCATAAAATGGGTGGATGAGGTTGTGGAAGGAGCGCCTTACGTCACCACCCTCCAGACCCTCGACAAGTACAACTGTGACTTCTGTGTGCACGGAGGTACAGGATATCACTATATGATATATCATGTCCTCATTCAGACATAAAAACAAAGAAGTCATAAACACTTCCAAGTAATTAGTTGATATAACTGTCCTTGATTCATTTCTACACACATATGTCATTAATGCTGTTATTTCAGATGATATAACACTAACAGTTGATGGAAAAGACACATACGAAGAGGTGAAGAAGTCAGGGCGGTACAGGTGAGTTCCCCTAGCAGGAGATTCAATAAGACAGGATGAGATGCTCTCTCTGTGTCTCTGAGAGTGTTTCATTGTGTGTTATGTTGTTACAGGGAGTGTAAGAGAACCCAGGGAGTTTCAACTACAGATCTGGTCGGCAGGATGCTACTGATGACCAAAGCACACCACAGCAACATTGTGAGTACAACCTTGTTCTCTCTGTATGCGCCTATTAAACAGCACACGTCTAATACAACCTCTCTTTCTTTCTTTAGGATAGTTCAGACTATCAGCAGCACAAAGACAACTTTGGAAAGGTAGGTACCAAACATATTCACAGCTTGTTTTAGGCCATCAACTAGTTATTATCAAACCCTCAGCTTACTACCAAACGTTCAATAATAATATATTTAAAATTATTTGCTTTTGATCTTCCTCTTACTTAACAGTTTTGTCATTCAAGTAGTGGCTATGTGTCCAGATGTCAACCATTCTTGCACAAAGGCCTCTACTGGGGACCCACTTTATAATCAAGTTATAGGCCTTGCCAATAAAACAGTCAATGCCACTTCTGTTCCTGGATGGTTCAAGTAGCTTAGAGTCAACATGCTGGGGATTGAAATAGTGTGATGGCAGTAGAGGGTCACTTTGCATTTGAACATTTAAGAATTTGGCGATGGTTGAATAAATGTGCTGGGGATTTGTGGGGCAGCCTTGTGTTAGCTATAAAGCAAAGGTGACATTGCTACTTGCACCACTAGGTGGCGATAATGTAGCGTTGTGATTATTTTTGGCACACTGCTTGTACTCATTGTGCCTGTTTCTGGATTACATGGTCAGAAGGGCCACAGTCCCTGGACAGGGGTGTCTCAGTTCCTGCAGACTTCACAGAAGATCATCCAGTTTGCTTCAGGACAAGAGCCCCAACCCGGAGACACAATTATCTACGTGGCAGGAGCCTTTGACCTCTTCCGTATCTTTTAAGAACCTCACTCTAAATATTGTTGGATTTCTGAACTTTTTGATTAAACTTAACTCACCGCCATTTCTGAACTAGTGGTATCATGCACACATTGTGTAAAATATTCATAATTCTATGATTTGTTGCTAGAAAAATCATTAGCTTTAAAAAAAATGCCTAGTCCTTGACTTGTGCCCATTAAGACATTGGCCATGTGGACTTCCTGGAAGCAGTGCATAAGCTCGCAGAAAAGCCATACATTATAGTCGGGTTGCACTTTGATCAAGTGAGTCACCTTGCATTTCTTTTCACCTTTATGATGCGTTTACTGCCTGCCTGAGTCTAGTGTTGACATTTCACTTTTGCATTTTCTCTTTGTTCATATTTTTCAGGAGGTGAACCGCTACAAAGGGAAAAACTACCCCATTATGAATGTCCATGAGAGAACGCTCAGCGTGCTGGCCTGTCGAGTAGGTTCTTCTTCCACCATCAAAACAGTGCAATGCAGAATTATTATTGATCTGCAAACAATTTGTGTGCAATCGTTTTCTAATTTCTTTTTGTGTCTTTACAGTATGTGTCAGAAGTGGTGATTGGTGCGCCCTTTGCAGTCACAAAAGATTTACTGGACCATTTCAAGGTGAATACAAGCAATTACAGTATCCTCATCACTATATTCTCTTCAATTAAGGATAAATAAAACAGCAACCTATTTGTCCCCATGTAGGTGGATCTTGTATGCCATGGGAAGACAGTAATATATCCTGACAAGGATGGATCCGACCCTTATGCTGTAAGAGTCCAATCACAGTCACATCTAGCTTTTTAAAAAACATCTTTATGAAATACTATGATCTGCAGAGATGATGAATCACATTCATATAGCATTAATTTCCTTCATTTCCAGGAGCCGAGGAGAAAAGAAATCCTGCGGACTGTTGACAGTGAGAACAGCCTGACTACAGATGCAATTGTGCAAAGAATAATTAAAAACAGGTGAACTTCTCGGAAGAAATAGACCATTTTATGTTATGAACACAGGTTAAAACATATTGTTCTTAGTTTAAATAAATCGGCACTTATTAAATCGGCATAAACGATTTCATTTGTTTGGATCCAGGTTGCTATTTGAAGCAAGGAATCAGAAGAAAGAGGCCAAAGAGATTGCTGTGATCCAGGCCATGAAGCGACAAGAAGAGGAGAAAACTAAAGAAAGACCCCAGGCTGTCGTGTAGGAAGGCTCTAAACAAGCACCATTGACTAAGTGTCATCATACTGACAATTAATCTAAACTCAACATAACACTGACAATTAATCTAAACTCAACATAACACTGACAATTAATCTAAACTCAACATAACACTGACAATTAATCTAAACTCATGTACAATGAAATCAGCTCTTATATGTGTTATGACACCGTCAGCACAACAATCCTGGCTGATAACAGCAGTCCTTAGGGCAGCCTGTTTATAGCCAGGAGGATATAGTCTGCTGTGTGATCACTGATCATCAGGTATACACTGTGTGTGTGTGTGTGTGTGTGTGTGTGTGTGTGTGGGTGTGTGTGTGTGTGTGTGTGTGTGTGTGTATGTGTGTGTGTGTGTGTGTGTGTGCGCGCATGTATTATATTCGGCATATGCAATTACATGTTCATGTCAGTCACATATACAAACTATGAGGTTATGGACTGTAAAGGTTGGAGCAAGAAAGACAAAACTGTGTCTCTAAATGTCCTTTTTTTGCCTCCAGAAATATGAGGGGATTTGGACATATGAAGGGCAAGTGTGTGGACTTGAGATGTGGGCAGGCATTAAACTGTAACAAGGAAGTTATTTAATTAATCAATACCAGTTGCTGCTTTCTACCCAGCAATGTGTGTAGACCCACATCTGATCGATTTACTTATAAATTGTATGTACTGTATATTATAGAGTGATTACTGGCTCTCTCTGGATGATGCTAAAAACACTAGAGAATTGCTTCACTGAATCTAACTTGGGTTGTTTGAATGTGAGAAGCTGTTGAAACTCTTCCGGGACCTCATGTAAATATCAGACCTTTCTCCAGACTGCACTGAATGCTCAGAAAGTCATCAGAACTGTTCAGTTTTACAGCAGAAAAGTTTAACTCAAAAAAGCACATTGTCCAGACTTGCACGCCTGGCCTTTTGAGTGGAATTGTAATTTTTTCTTTTAACACTCCTTATCCTAATAGAACACCACAGAGTTTTAACAGACTGCTTTTAATCATTAATTTGTTTTCTTAGTATAACTAGAGAACTATGACAGATGCTCAGTGATGTTAACTTTATCATAAAATAGACATATTACTGTCATTGAGCCCTGAACAAACATCAGTCTCTATATCAAATGGGATTAAATACTATATTTTTTGTAAATGTATATTTTACTCACACCTTCTCCATTAACTACTGTATAGATGGTTTCATATTGTTAAAAAATAATATGTATGTTGGAATGTATTCAGTGTAGAGTATAATGTATTGTGCTATTGAGATCTCCCAGTTGATTAGGAACTGATTGGACTACATACTACTGCTGGTAATAACAACACTTTAATCTGAAAGGCTATGTGTCATCCCTTTTCCCCTGAAACAGAAAATGTCTTGCTATAGGAACACTTCAATGTTTTACTTTTTTATTTTTATTTAGTAGGCCTACGTTACAAAGCATGGATTTTTGGACACAAAAAGGACATTTGATCAGGACGTTTTTTTCTGCGTTTTGTATCATATGAGTTACACAGGTTGGTAAATGTCAGGCCATTAAGAGGAGTTTTCTTCAGTAGCTGCTTGGTACACCGAAAAGATCTGAAAGCTTTTTCCAAGAATATAAAAGTGCCTCTGCATTATGATCAATGTGAATGTCTGTTTAATCAGAACCATATCTCTTGCTGGCCTCTGCTGTTTATATAACAAGCATACTGCAATGCTTTTAGTCAGGGCCGCCCCTGGCCAACTTGGGGCCCCAAGCGACATTGTGAGATGAGGCCCCCCAACCGACAGGAGTGAACATTTTTTTTATACTTTGCAAATATAATTCCTGTTTATTATTATTATCAACGGTTACTTTTTTATACACTGAGGTAAATGGTAAATGTGCATGTATGTCGCTCAGTATGCGTTTACAGGTGAATTTTGCATTTCCTGCCAAATACTAGTCTCAAAAAGATAAAAACATAATTAATGCAAATAAACTACTTCTACTAATAATAATAATGATAATCAATTCAATAATAAAAATACTATATTGTTTGATTATAATATAGTTGTAATATAGTCAAGACAAAACATGCTTATGACATGCTCAAAAACTGATATTTCTTAAATCTGTATTCTAGTTCCCTCTGTCAGCAATGTATCAACAACTACACACACATTTCTATCAGTATTTCTCTGTGTTGTGGTTGACATGATGATGACTGTTGGGAGTTAAGGGGAGAGGCTGAGCATCACCATGAAATGTGCAAATTGACATAAAAATGAATAAAAGGGGAACAATTGCTCCATGTTTTTTAGGCTGTAAACTTTAACTGTTATGTAAGCCAAGTAGACAGACAGTATCACTCTTCCTCCTGTATATTAGCAGATAAAAGGCATAACATAATGAATGAATGGTAAATAAAGAATACTGGAAATAACTGCATCTCCATTAGCCTACTGTATATGCTCTGCAGAGACTGCCTTCTTCATGTCGTGAATTGCAGCTGATGTTTTAAGATGGCAATTGGCAATTTGACTTATACAACATTCGTAAATTGTACATTTGACTCATACAATAACCCACCTTCGAGTGATGCGCTAGTTTCTTTATGTTTTGTTTTTTGCGCCGGACTGAAACTGTCTTTTCACCGACATCTCTTCACCTGCACTAGTGGCCGTATCAAAGCCGTGATTGGTTAAATGTCGATTCATTGCAACGGTGTCGGGTTACATACGTGCTCCTCTTGTCACCTCTCACTCTCACTCTCGCTGGGGGTGCGCGGAGAACTGCGCACAGCAGCTGAGGCCCTCTGGGCGGGGCCCCCTGCGCTAGGCGGGGCCCCATGCAGCCTGCGTGATTGGCCTGTAGGGAGGGGCGGCCCTGCTTTTAGTGACATTTAGAGAGATTTTACAGCAAGCAATGTACTGTATGAGGCCAACCTCATGGCATTTGGTGTTATAGTCACGAAATATTATGTAATCTATTGATTCCTGTTCACCGACACAATTTTCCCATTTTATTCATGCCACACAGAACGAAAAGCAATGTATTTCTATTGGCAATAGAATTACATTTTTGAACACGAATCAATAGATTATATTTCGTGACTATAACACGAAATGCCGTGAGACTGGGTTGATGAGGCAGTGGTGGAAGTAGTAGGCTAGTATTGTTTTGTTTTTTAACTCAAGTAAAAGAGGCAACAGCAAATAATACTCTATCAAAAGTAGGCTACAAGGCATCCATGCATGTGCCCAGGGCCCCAGTACGTTTTCTAGTATATTTAGACGTCTGCGCACTAACGTGAAATGATGCTCTTATTTTGAAGGACAGGTGTTCTTCCTCTTCAGAGTAGCTCTGCTTTTAAAAGACAGGCTGTGCACACTTTCCTCTAATTAAGCTAATTAGCCCTTCCGTGTCTTGCTAGCTCTGTTGGCAGTTCAGGCTGTGACTCAAACGACACCGTCATGTTTTGTTGTCTAAATATACTGCCAGTCCCACTGCAGGTAAAGAATGTAATCAAATTGTACAACTAATTTATAAATGGAATGCTTTCCGATACAACTAGCCATGAGAGATTCATGGTCATAAGTAATCATCTTTAAACGTTTTGGTTTCCTAACTGTGTAAATTGTCTTCCAATCTAAATTGAGCTATGGAGTAAAACTTCAGGTAGCAGTTCAAGTATAACTTTTTCTCAAATGTAAGTTTGGCTACTGCTCCACATTTATTGAATTTCCTGAGTCTTTTACATGTAATTTTACATCACAAAATGTAGTAGAAATAAACGAAATAGCCTACCATTAAAGGAGGCTAGTTAGCTTATTTTTGAGCTAGTCAAACTTGCTTGCTGTAGTCCAACGAGTTTATAGATTACATTTATGATGTATATGAGTGCCAGAAAATATTTTCTTGATGCTTCTTTTTTGAGGAATGTCATTTACAAATGTGTTAAGTTAGTTTCGTATTTTATTTAAAAGTAGTCCCAAGGTATACATATCCAAATTAAAGATCTTCCTCAGGTCTGCATGGGATTGTGCCCGGATATCACAGAAGAGGGCAAAAAGGCTAAACTCCGGAGCTCTAAAATAGAGCAAGACATTTTTGAGCATGCAAGGACTGAGATGAATGTGGTGAAAATCCTCATGCTTGGTAAGTTAAAAGCATTTAAACACTACTGCAATGCATCAGGTTTCCCTCAAGGCCTATTGGCATTTTGAAGTAAAATCATGTATCTGGTTTGTGTGGTAGGAGCTGCAGAGAGCGGAAAAAGCACCCTCATCAAACAGATTAAGATTATCCACAGTCATGGCTTCTCCAAACAGGACCTCATGAGTTTCAAGGTACTGGAGAGCTGTAAATCAAAAGAAAATGAGCATTAATTGTAACACCCTGAATCTCAAACAACTTGAAGCGCATGAATTATGTGGAAAAAGTTTGATTGTCATTCCCTTCACAGGCCGCGGTACTAGACAATTTGCTGACCTCTATGAGGTTTGTTCTTCGAGGAATGGGGATGCTGAGGATTAACCTTGCTAACAAGAAAAACAAGGTAAGGAATAAAGACACAGTTTTAGATTAAAGTCCTGTAAAGTCTGTTTGCAGTGCCTCTTTGTCACACTATAATGTCAGTCTTCATCTGTATACTACACTTGTCAGTAGATGATTGATAGATTGTAAATGAGATATTGAGCACCTCTTCTTTGGAATAGTCTTCCATTTCAGATCTGCAAAGCTATTTCCGTTGACTCCTTTAAAAGCAAACTGAAAAACCATCTCTTCGCATCGGTCTTCCTTTTAAACTAATTTCCATCAACTAGTTTCGGCTCATCATTACCATCACTTCCGTCGCATGCTTTTATCCCATGATAATACTTATGTTGATGTATAATATAATTTTTATGCTATGTCTTTTGTATTTTGTTTTTGCTTTTGTTTGCTTTGTACAGCCCTTTGAGGCATTTCTTGTGATTTGGGGCTATAATACATTTTGATTTGATTTGAAAGGCACAACATATTGGTCCAGTTTTACCTTCAGGCATTACATTACTTTTACATTTGGGGGAGAAAAAATGACATTGACTTCATCTAATTACCTTTTGTCCCATTTACTACAGATGCATGCTCGCTCCATCTTGTCCTGCAGTCAGTGTTTGGGAGACGACGACGAGCTGCTTCCTTTCGTGGCTCATGCCATATGTGCACTTTGGGCCGATCAAGGGGTGCGGGCAGCTGCAGCCAGAGGTTACGAGTTTGAGCTGAATGACTCTGCACTGTAGTGAGTAGAATGACCTTAAGTGACCAATTATGACAGACAGGGGAAATGTCAAGGGAAATTGCACAGTAAGAAGTGTCTTGTCACCCCTGATCAATACAGAGCAACAGTAAAGCAGGTGCTGAAAAAACCTTGTCTTCAGGAAATGATTCATGTGACATTTGTGGATCGGGATGCCTAATTGGGAGCAAATTAAAAAGCAATGTTTGCAGATATCCAGATAGATGGGGAATTAGGGTGGAGAAGATGAAACGGACTACATTAAAGAGTCTTGTTTAATGAGAAAAGGAGTCAAACGGCATCATAGGTGTGAAGCTGTTGGGTAAGGGGGAAATGCTATAGAGGTTTTGTTGAAGTAGCATTAGCTTCTAATTCAAATATTTTGATATAACTATATTTTACAACATTACATCTCACTGTGTTCTTTATACACCATTTAACAATTATAAACAATCAACATATGTCCCAGTTAATGTCCTGTTGCAGAGCAAGAAACCCATAAACTACATTTATATATACATTTAGCTGTTGCAGTGCAAGTGAGTAACATCAGCTGACAGGAAGTATACATGGACCCAAGCTGTTTCTAGAAAATCTGTTTAGTTAACAAGGTATTTACTAAGAAAGTTTTCCTAAAATTAGATTTTAGAAAACGGCGATATATCAACCTTGCTTGCAATATAATTGAATAGTATCATTATACGAATTGCCAGATTCTCACCAATACACATCCTAGCAGAACTGTTTTATTTATAACCTGTGTCCTTCAGCAGTTGTGCCCTACAATTTGTTTATCAAAAAAGAAACGGCCGGCGAGTGTCATGAAATCCAAACCTTCCCACTCTGCATAGATCCTTCTGTTGAGTGTGTTGTGTCATCAGCTGAAGTGTGGAACATTAACTGAAGTGTGGACACATTTTTGCTAAATGGCAATTTTAATTATTTATTAAAAGATACTCCAGCTAACCAGACTGACAGAAATGATGTGACGGATACATAACCGGAACTCGATTAGTTTTGCTGCTGGAGGATGATATGAATCTCCGCTGGCTGTCTTGCAGTGTTCTCACTCTGCTGGACCCCACACT